CAGACCAGCTTTATTCATTCCTTCTGTAATTTATAAACGGTCATTGAGTATTTCTGGGCCTTGTGTTAGGTGCCGGATATGTAAAAATAAAAAGGACATGGTCTCTGCCCCTATGACATTAGTCTCCCCACTAGTTTATTAGGAGTACAAGCACAAAGAAAAAGGCATACTTGGTGTTTAACAACTGGCTCTGAGAGCAGGGGGAGGCCCTCATTTGTGACATTTGTTGAGTTCTGTGATGTGAAAACTCCCCCCAACCATCTTACAAACTTGGTGAATATTGTAAGTAGTGCTCTCCAAATTTTAAGTCAGTAGGCAGAAAGAACTCCCCTCCCTCTTCCTACAATTACTGCTCTTGGAATCTTCCGTACAGAGAAGGGAGATAAAATCCCTAAGTGTTAAAACAGCAAAGAAGCCACAGAAATATCTGAGTGCAGGCAAGTGCTTACTAATTTAGGAATTTCAGAATGGGCATTAAATCTCTGAGGCTGTGATACTGAGTATAGATATAAACACTTCATACTTTGCCTTTACTTAAAAAGGAGCCAATATCTTTTTCTTGTTTAGGAGAGAAAACATTAAATCTGAACTTGAGGAAATTAATTAAGCAGTGATAGGTCTCAGACATGTAATTTTCATAACTCCTTTTTCTGAAAAATACTTCATACTCATTCTTGCTATGTACAATATTATACACACACTTCAATTTTTTTTGAGACTAGTTAAAATTACAGTTGAGCTAAATGTGTATAAAACCTACTGGGCATGCCATGGAATTAGTGATCACAAAACTGAAGGTTTTTCCCTTTCTCAGGTAAAAGCAGTTCACAGTTACGTTCGATTATTAAGAAAATTGTAGAGAATGAAAGGTTGTTGCTTCTTTAAAACCAAATCTACCTTTTCTATATCCTCCCTGTGCATTAGTAAAATTGAAAAGTGTAACACTTCTAATGTGTTTATCCTTCTTTTCTTCATATTGTCTTTTTCTTGTGAGAAGTCATTTTCTCTCTCATAAGTCAAAAGTCCCTCTGTACATGCCACGAACAAGAACTATTATCAGAGTTCTTGCACATGAATACAGGTATATTCCTTAAACAGACGTTGAAAATTGCCCTGAGACAGCACCTGCTATTTACAAAAACTTGAACCAAAAGTCAGAAAAACTATGTTTAGCACAGATTGTAGGCAGAATTTTGGGTTACCCTATATTTATATCCTTTATCTTCAGCATCCCTCTTACATAAATAGGAGCAGGTGGTGGTATCCCCATTTAACATATAAACTGCAGCACAGAAAATTCATGCATCTCTTTCCAGGATGAGGCTGAAATTGAACCCCAGTTTCTTGACAGCTGGTCTTGACACAGTGACAGAGGGCCATAAATAATTTCATATGTAAGTTTAAAATCAAAAGTAGTTACTTAAAATGAATAATAATGTTAATATTAAGCACAGATTAGGTTTAAAGTATTTATACTAGAAAAAATGTTTAGTTCCCTTTATTATTTTTTAGAATAGTAATATTCCTTCCCCCCTTTTCTGCTTTTGCAAAGTAGAAGGAAGGAGGATTAGAGGATAATTATATTGCTGTGATTGCAGCACCTGTGTGTTATTTCTTTTGATTGGCTACTTCTGTATTAAAGATTCCTACCAGCTGAAAGTCTCCCTCATCAAGTGGCATTTTATTAGCTAGTTTTGGCTTGGGTTGTTTTAAATTTACAACAAAAACCTTAATTCAACATAGACTTGTACTTTAAATTTTGCTTTGAATTTCTTTACCATTCCCTATCTATCATCTCACCCATTTCAGTTTTTTTAATTTCAGTGCCAATGGCAACATGCAGTCACAGTAGGAATATAGCTTGAGCTATCCTGTTGTTGCTAGTGATCAAGTTTGTGTATGCCACTCAATTTATAGGTACTAATAACTCTTCCCTAGAGAGTTGCCTTTTAAGGGATAAGTGTCTGATCTATTATGAGGAGATATAGGAATTAACTGCTTTGGATTATGGTTACCATTGCAGATGCTAACAGCACTGTTTTTGACTGATTTTATCATCATCTCAATCACAAAATATCCTGTTTATGGACTCAGAACTGTGGTTTAAGTAGAGTTCCTTATATCTCTTTAATGTATGTTTTTCTAGAAGCGGGGGGAGGAATGTAAGTACTATAGATTAGGGTGGTTTGTTTTGATGTTGTTTATAAAGAATATTTAGCTTTTCAAAGGTGACTTATCACAGACAACCGCCCAAAAAGGAAACTTTCAGACATTAGCCTGCCTAATTTTTGATAAGTGCTACGGTTTTTCATTTAAATTCAACCATTAATGATTTTCACTGACTCTGCCACCTAGACTTAAACTTTTAAAAATCTTTTAGAGCGTCATTTTCCTTAATGAAGATTTTTTTGTAATTAAAAAAATACATCCCATGTTTTTATACAAAATGAATACATTATAGCTCGGTAATTTTAGTTTATATAGCTTTATATTTGAATTTCTTCAGAGTTTTGTAATAGTGAAATAGAATTATACTCCAGATGTCTTTTATGTAGATATTCATTCCTCTATTAAATTTTACTACACTGGAACTGTCCTCCCGGCTTTAGAAATATTAACATTTGCTTTCTGTCTGCCTAATTTTTTGTGTCAACTCTAAATATAATAAGATAAAGTAAAATACTTCATTTATAGGCCCTCTGAAAGTAGAGCATTTTAAAAGCAGGTAGGTGTCTCCACCCTACTTTTCATGAAGCATTTTACCCATTCAAGCAGACTTTTAAAAACAGCTTGTTTTGATAGCAGACTGTTCTCCTGTGGGCCTCCAGCCTTTGCTTCCTGGCAGCACCTTTGGTGCGAAAAGAGAGTGATCAATTGGGAGACTATCAGTGCCAGCATGCATAGAGTGATAAGTTAACACACCACTGGGAATTTCTAGGGCCCACCAAGATACTTCACTTCTAATGTGCTAACAAGCTCATTTTTCTACCTCTTGCCTCTTCAGTTATTTTTTTTCTCAGAAGAGCTTAGAAGTTGAGTGCATCAGGCATAATGAAAAGCTCTGTAGGAGGGAGAAGCAATAACCCCATTTTTCCCTTTTCAGCCAAATAGAAAATTAGTTTCTGGTAATACACAAAGGCCAGTATTTTTTGTACAAGGGGCACTGCTGTGAATCAAAGGACTCTATTAACTGCAGAAAATTCGGCAGCTGTGAATCTCCCCCAATGAAAAAAGTACTTCCCAACAAGTTGTGAGATATGTGGTATTATTTAGATTGAACCATCAGTTTCATCCTCTGCCACTTATAACCATATACCTCCTTTTTAAAGTGTGCTCTATTACTTTTCTAAGATAACATTCAAAAATACCTGTTTCTTCCATAAAATCCTTTCCACTGATCATTGTAATATAGCGTCTTCTCCTGAGAAGTAGAATTCTTCAAAGTTCAATCCCAGTGTACATAATTGAAAATAATGGATTGCAAGAAATTGGAATTCAGATTTCAATATTTAATGCATAAAATAAATTGTAATTCGAGAAGCGAGTACTCAAGCCATTTAGAGGGCAAAAGACATCACAGTCTTAAGTACCTAATGAATATAGTCTTACCTTTAACTCTTAGCTTTTTTCCTCTTCTTAATCAATAACCTTTTGTAAATGTAACTATGGCTGTGTTAGCTCCAGTTGAATTATCACTTTAAATTATCTTCCTTACCAGTTTTTTTTCTTGCCCTTGGTTGTAGGCTTAGTCTACAATTTCTGAAAATGAAGAGCTACAGTAATTGAATTGCAGTTTTAAAAAAAGAATAAAGAGTTCTGAGGAAAATATAATGGGTTTTGGAAAAAAATTCAGTGAAGGAAGAAAAACCCATAGGCAAATTTTTATTAGCCTTCCTACTTATATAAATGTCTTCTGCAAAGCCTGTCAACATAGCACACTGATACAGCAGGACAACTTTTAAAAGTTGTACAAGGAAGGTTAACTGATTTCTCAGTTCAGGAACGATACGACATGAAGTCAGCATGCGAGTTTCCCTGATAATTGTATGTTGCTGCCTGCTGCTCTGCATCTTGACAGCCATTTCCATAGCTGCTTTCGTGAGCGACAGAAGTATTCTCTCCCTTTCTCGCCCTCTCTGTGCTAACAGCACAATCAGGCCTGCTGAAACAGGAAGCCTGGAGTGGGTTGTTCAAAAGCAACAACACTTCAAGGTACTGGTTGCTTGTCAATAATATCAGAGAAGAAAACGTGGTGAAAGAGAAGTACAGTATTTTTCTGTCAGTGTCAGTGCCCTGTAGATGCTTTGTTAGACAGTATTTAGGAGTCCTGTGGACTCTTTGCAAATATTCCTGCTTGTTTCAGTGTTATAATTGACTAGATATTTCTTCCTGACGTACAGATTCAACTATATATTTATCTTAACCACATGGAGTTATTCGAGGATTAGAGCAACAGTAGTCTTCCATTCAAAATGAGAACAATTGTTGGGAAAATACAAGGATTTTAGAAAAAGAAGAAGGATATGCAGGAATTTCTCACAATAAGCCTTTTTATAAATGAAAAATATAGAATTACAGACAGTATTTTAAGCAGCATTCTAATATTTACCGTGTGGCTTTGCAGAGTAAATCTGCAGATTGAAGCCAATTTAACAAGATAAAATGAGCCTAGGCTGACCTGATAGCAGTTGAATCCTTTCTCAAGTAAATGGTTACCTTTCTTTCTTCCAACAGGTTAGTATTATTATTGTTTTCTAGTAAATGTCTCCCTCTTAAGCTGCCGTGTATAGTGGTATCACCCAAAAAGTCACCTTTTAACTTGTTAAAAACTATTTTTTTGCTCCTTAAAAAGCCATACTTTTAAATGATATGTAAGAGTACTGAATAATGACATTTATTAAGAAGTAATAGCTTAGCAATCTGAGTAGTCCTTTTTGATAAGATCTGTTCTTTTCCACTGTAAGCTGCATTTAAGTACATCCTTAACTGAAGGGAATCAGCTATGAAGAGAGAGCACGCTACCTGCAAACAATTGTCCAGCACCATTTAGAACCAACGACATTTGAAGATTTTGCAGCACAGGTTTTTTCTCCAGCTCCCTACCATCATTTACCATCTGATGCCGGTAAGATTAAAAGCGAGTATTAGTTACTTGTCACTACTGGAACTTGAAATGCAATACCCTTTTGTCCTAAACTCTTAAAATAATAGATAACTTGCTTGAATGAAATTCCAGTTATTGAAATACATTTTTCATTTTTTAAGAGTTAATTTGGCCTGTAAATTTAATTTATACTTTCTTTTACCTAAGTGCAGTTCCTTGAGAAGTCAACAATCTTCTTAAAAGTACATGCACCACATTTTATCTGAGCTACTGGCCAGTGACTGTTGTGTTTCATGGGATCATTACTGAAGTGTCTGCAAAAGAAACACAAGTTGAGCACGTACTCTCTCTCACCTTTAGAGGAGCATATTTTATGGCCAAGAATATTGCCTTATCTCTAATTTTACAAATAAAGTTAAACAACTGTCTAGATTTAGGAGTGGTTGGTACAGTAAATTATTTTATGATACTTAAAGACTGTAAGAGGGTACTGCATTTTTACAATTAACTAATTTTGAAAAAATCAGTAAGAAAATAAATGACTCATGGCCTTCCTTTTCTGTGATACTTTGCACTCCTTATGATTGTTTCATTTATTTTATTTTCCCTCTTTAGATCATTAAATATCAGTTCTGTTTATCTGAAGGTAAGACAAAGTGTCAACCAAAACACCCTTTGTTCTTCCCCCATTTCCTTTTTTAAAAACTAGCAAGCACTAAGCTTGTAACTCAAACAATAAGCAAACTTAACATTGCCCTCATTTATACTAAACATTTCAGAAATTGTCACTAAATTTCTTCCAGAATTATATTACTAACCCAGGTCTGCATGAAACACTAACCCTGGTTCTGGGATAAAAATAACTAATAATTAGAAGCAACCCTTGGTTGAAATTAGTTAGATCTTGTTGTATTGCCTTTTTTTGTTTCTCAGCATGAAAAAAACTAGTACTACTGAGCTGAAATGGTGTGTCTTTGTATTTTGTAATGTGTTGCGCATTGTTATTGGATATCTTAACTCATCAGATACTTATTCTGTTATGTGCCTTGTACTATACTAGGCACCTGAAATACAAAGATGACTATTTTAATGGTGTTCAAGGGAACAAGAAAAAATAATACGATATATTTGAAGTTCATCATAAGAAACCTTAAAATTCTCTTTATGATATGTAAGTTTTCTTTATACTAAGTAAGTTTAAGAGGCATAGTAGTCCTTTTCTGGCCTCATTTATTTCGGGGGAAAAAAAAGGCTAATTCTCAATTGAGATTTAGTTGATAAAATTAAAGTTTCCATTCCTGTCTTCATTTAATTGGCCATTATAAAAATAATCTTACCAAAAAACTTAGAGCCCTTTCCAAATTAATATAAAAGACCTAGCAAAGAGGAAAATTATGTAGACTAGGTTGAATCTTTTGAAAGAGAAAGAGATTAAAAAGTCTTTAGATTCACTTCAGTGGATCAACAATCTAAAATAACTCAGTTTGGCATTAAGAATGATGCTAAAAAAAAAAACTAAAAGTAAATTAACAACAAAATAACAACTAGTTAAGTACAACTGGAAATTTCATTTTTTATAAGAGAGAATATCTGAAAAATACCAGACTACATTATTAAAGTAGGTATGAATAACACTTTCATATATCACATAGTTGAATCATAAGTTTCACAGGTGAAAATATTGATAACAGGACCACATTCAGATTAACTTCCCCCTTAAATTGATAAAAGCCATCAGTTTTCATGTTGTAGTTGTTTACCAACTGGAGTCCTTCATATTCCTCTTCTTAATGTTCTTATATTGTGCATATTATCCTGCACATTTGGTCAGATATATAATATGGGGAGTAGTATTCTCACTTTCTGAGACACAGCAACAAAGTCAAGGTTCTGTTGGCTTCATTTTTCATGTATTTTACTACTTTATTAAAATTTCATTATCTCAGTAATGAAGATATGAATTTTAACATAATACTATGCTACAGATTATTTTCAGTTAATTTTTTAAGTTGTCTTTGCCTTTAAGAATCATTATAAAAACTTGCACACTAAGTTTTAGAAGGATGTTTTTATCTGTAAATAACTTATTCCAGTATTACTGAATACATTCTTGGGGTTTTTCTGGTTTGGTTTTGTTTTGTTTTTTGCAGACTTTAATACTTAGGAAAGATAAAATATTTTTATCAGAGTCGTTCTCAGTTCAACACAATACTAAGAAAGTGAAATATTTGCTCCTTCTATATAGTAGCAAAAACATTAAGATATCTGAAGAATGATTATCTTTTTCTTCCTATCATCTCAGATTTTGATTGTCCTATCATAAACCACTCCGTACAATAGAACTCCCTTCAAAGTTGTAAGTCAAGGTGGGAGAAAGAAGTGAAATAACCACATAATAGCAATAGGAACCTGACTTATGGTTTGCAAAAATTACATAATAGTGTGAAGTTTTCTGGTTCATTTTTACTTTTTTAGCATAATGATAAAATTGTCACATTGAAGAAATGCATTCATAATTGCAATTGAGAATCAACTTTCGATTCTCCTTTGCATATTCCATGTATATAAGATAGCACTAATTGATAACAAATGCAATAATTTGAAATTAAGTTTTAAAGAAATGCCAGTATGATCATATAATGAATATAATCTGTTCTTTCTAACCAGTCCTATTATATAATTCTATTCTGCAGAATAGTCTGGAAAAATACCTTTTTTTTTTTTTAAGTTTTAATAACTTGGTTCAAGATTATCTAAAACCTGCTTTCTGGTTAACACTAATGTACCAACTGTTTGAATTGAAATCCAAGAGAGGATTCTTCTGGATAATTTTTAGTATTATTTAAATAAGTATGAAAAACATTTTTGGTGTATCATAGTTGATCCATAAATTTCATAACTGTATTTTCTCAAAATGGACTCTGTGACAGTAGACTGATACTTAAGGGAAATTATTTTTATCCCTAAGGTCATTGAAGGAGATATTGTGATGTCACACTTTGTTGATCTCCCATAACTACATTAAACCATTATTAGATTTTTCTTGTCCTTTATTTAAAAAAAAAATTACAGGAAAAAAAATCCCTTTATCTTTGTCAGGCATGTGTGTGGAAAATATCAAAAGTTTTACAGTGACCTCCTTTTTAAACTTTTTTTATATTCATGAACATCTCTCCTCTGACTCTAAACTTTAAAATTAAATTACTCCTTTTCTTCGCCAAATTATACTGGTAACCAGTTCAAAACCTAGATATTTTTCTCTAACATTACATTCAAGTCTTTTTTTTCTTTAATAAAAGAAATTCTAGAATGCCAGCAACAAGAAACAGGATATTTTGCTGAAAGTACACAGTAAATATTGTCTTCCTCCATGTCAACATCGAAAATACACCCATAATTTTTTCCAGTATTAGTCTTTTTTTACTGTCATTAGCCACAAATATTTTTGAATGCTTATTGTGTAGTGTATCTAGAATTACCTCTAATATTTTGTTATTTTAATTGAGTGGATATTGCCCTTTGGATTTATTGTTTTTCTACAAATTAGGTTAGAAATTTTAGCACTCTAAATATTAGAGGGTTGGTTGGTGTTTTTCTCTATTATGCATATATACACATATACACATAAATATATCTCTGCATACAGACCAATTACCTTTAGGTTCCTTTAGGTTACATATAGGTTTCTATTTAAATAAATGAAAATTAGTAGTTAGATTCAACTATTTCTATGCCATCAAAATAAGAGATAATCTAGATAAAATGATGAAGACCTAGAGTAGCATCTAATCTTCCTTCTAATTTCAGTTTTGCTCCTAATTCACAAAATCTGTATTGCCTCATGTAGATGGGATAGTATTATGATGGTCAGATCTCTCTCTTTGAATCTTCAAATGGGATAAATCATCAAAATTTAACTATTGCTTTAGGTAACCTCTTGAACTTGGTGTCCCTCTTTAAAAGTTATTTTAAACTTTCCTCCCCTTCCCAGGCTTTGAAATGATCTGAAAGAACACGTTGTAGCTCCTCAGAAGATAGTTATTTTATATATATCCTAAATATTATTTGTAAGTGCCAATAATCGGTTTCCTTCAACATAGAAGCTATATATTTGTTTGCTGCGTTTTTAAAACAGATGCCTAATCATATGTATCACTAGGCTAGCCTGAAATTAGAAGCAGCCAAATTGTATCCTGTTTTCAGTATTTTGAACTTGAAAATTTGGCTTATTATGTGTTGTTGTCCAAGAGGCAAATAATATCAGTCTTAAAGTCCCATTAACCTTTTGTGACAATAATTACTAGGTTCAGTTTCCACATAGAACATTCATTCAGATGTAAAATTTTCATAATGAAAATAATAAAAGAATAACTGAACAATTACTGAGTGCTAGGCACTGTGCTAAGTACTATACATGCATTCTCTCATTTAATCTTCATGGCAGTTCTATTGCAGGGGGGTGGGGGGAGCTTACCCAGAGTCACCTGATTCTTGGTAAAGCCAGAGTGTGACTTCAGAGTCAGACTGTTATATTTACTATTATATTACCTATGTAATTACCAATGTAATCTAAATATTTTCAGTCCCTTCTTGCTGTTGAGAGAAATTGCCCTACAACCTGTCATATTTATAAATTAGAAATTGTTAAAGATTCTTATTTTAAAGACTCTTTTTCCACCCACTGAAAAAAATCCTTTTTTTTTTTTTTTTCTTAATAGCTAAGGTTGCCATGGGAGAAGTATGGAAGAATCAGACTGTGATCTGGATTTAAATCCTAGTTCTGTTATTTATTATCCACAAAACCCAGTTTCTCTGTTTGTAAGGAGATAAAATATGACAAGCTTTAGACTAATATGTTCTAAGTCTGCAATAATGGCAGTATTTTAATATTTTCAAAATGAAACCACTTTGTTTGCCTGTATTCCTGTACTGTTTAATTTTAGGGGTACCTGGCTGGTTCAGTCAGTAGGGTTCAGTAGTAGACCCTTAATCTCGGGGTCATGAATTCAAGCCCCATGTTGGGCATAGAGATTACTTAAAAAAACAAATTATATATGGTTTCCTTTATGACATCCAGTGCTGGTGCATACATGCTAATCTTAATCACTAATCAACTCCTTTAACAATATTAAAGCAGTAAGATTATTGGGGTAGTCTATAAACTTTAATAAGTAAGGTTGTATTTTGTAGGAATATCAGCGTAAGAGTGGATAAGTCCTTTAACGTCCTCAAAACTAAACAGTATATTCTGTTCTCCACATTTCAGTGGTTATATTTTGTAAGTGGTCATTTTCTTCAAAAACATTTCTAACTTCTGTCTCTTCTAATCCTCATCTGTTCTGATCCAAAGTCTATTAAATTTTACTCTTCTCTGTTTAGTAGCTTTATTATATAGCTAAACTTATTGTGTAGCTACTGTGTGCCAGAATCTTTGCATATGTAATCATTTCATCCCTCACAACTTTGAAAAATAATATTGTTGTCTCCATTTTACAAAAACAAAATAAAACAAAAAACCTCTTAGATCAGTTTGCCCAAGATCCAACAGCTAGTAACATGCCAGATTTGGCATTTAACCTGGGCCTGTCTAACCCATGCCCATGTTCTTCCTCACACATCACAGTGCCTCTTAGTTCAGTATTCACTGGAACTACTTTCAAAGTCACAATATTTTTTTAAAGGCTATTATTTACCCAATAACTAGCAGTTTTAAACCAGTCATACCTGTCAGCAAGCAGTACAAACAAAGCCACAATAAATAACAATCCATTGAGTTCCCTTTTATAATGTGTATAGACTCCCAAAGTCATATTCAGCATGTTATTTGTAATAGTTCATTGTAACCAGGGCATAATATATAAATCAATTACACCATCAAGATAAAGTGTGTACTGAGTACTGTAAGAATGTTAGAGATACAGTATGAACAAACATAGGAGCCTATAGATAACTTTCCACCTGAGGATATATTAATAATAGAAGTGATTAAAGCAACATTCTTTATGACTCATGTGATAGAAATCAATACTTGGGCAGAATAGGGTGTGAAATGAAGGGTAGGTATCACTGTATTCTTTATATCTAAAATTGAGATCTATCCACTGTAAAGTATTTATAGAGTTTGAATATGCTGAGTATATACCATAAATATCATTTGCCAAAACGTAAGGAGGTACTGATAAGCTATATACCACACACTAAAAAGCCTGATTTGACTCTCAGTTCATTGAAGCGGTGGGGGGGGTGGATTTCACACTGCAGGCAGTAAGGGAGACATGGAGAAATTGCTGTTTTTGAGGAAAATATTCTTTGATTTGGGCATACCCTGAAGCAGTATTCTCCAGTAAAACTTTCTATGACGATGGAAATGCCCTTTATCTGCACGGTCCATTTTGGTTGCCACTAACCACATGTGGCTGCTCAACACTTGAAATGTGGCTAGTACACCAAGGACCCACATTTTTATTTTTACTTAATGTTAATTTTTCATTAATTTTAATATGGCTATGCCTACTGTCTTGGACAGTACAGCTCTGGAGATTTTATGACTTAGCGATTAGGATAAACTGCCCACCAGTACAATGAACACATTAAAAGTGATGTTTATAGAATCTCTCATAGACTTTTTTTCTTTTCTTTTTTTTCCTATTTGAACTTGTTAGTTGGTAAGTATAACATTTGAATTTACAAAGCACCGTCCATTGTGAAACACCATCACCCTAATGCATTGCATGCCCAATTTCATAATAAGAACTTGATTACTCTCTTCTCTGCTCCTTGGTTAACACCTGTACAATTCTGCACCATGTCTCTCATATCTGTTATCTGTCTTCTCTTTTGTTTTCTCACTTCTGCTCGCTACTCCATTTCTTCATTTACAACAAAGAAAGAAATGCAGTGATAGTTCTCTTCCTCCCAAAACCTCCGCTAGAAAACATTGGCCATCTTAAGGTAAACAGCCATGGGAAGGCCTCTCATGGTTGGCCGGGAATAATATGCATTACCAGAAAAGCATGAGCTCCCGCTCTTCACCTTCCTTCTGCCATCCATCTGCAGTGCTTCCCTAAAAAGGGCCATGGATTCATATTCTCCTCTAGGTTTTCCAGTATGGGTCCAGTATGAACCAATTCAGATCTTCAGGAAGAGTAAAGGTGAACAGAAATATATTTCCTTCTCCTTGTATTTTGAAGGCCAACCTCGTTTCAGTTAGAAAAGAAAGAATGTTGGAGAAATTACTTTGAAAAGAAAGGCAATTAACCTGAATTCCAAATAGTGAGAAAATATTTCTTCCTTGGCTATGTTTGTTCTTAAGTATGATTATAGCGTTTCACCTTAAAAACACTTTGAAGGGTTCTGCCAAGATAGATTCTTAATAATACACCTCTATAGTACTCCTTATTGAACAGTTTTGATTGTTCAATATTCATAACTTCAATTTAGGCATAAATGTCTCATTAAATGGAAGTGTTAGTATGATTATTTCCATGCTTGAAATTTCTGTGAGGTGCTACATTGGCTAACAAACATGCCAAAAGTTTTCCTGCAGAGTGAGGAGATGTATAATAAGCCTGCAACCTGTGTGATGTGTGTGTATGTGACATACATAAAGAAAATGTTCACATACATAAGGCCCAGAAAATCTGGATTAAAGTGCCTTAAAATACACAGAATTTTTTAAATTGTAAGTTAACAGATTTTTTTTGAAGGGCTTTTATTTTTAATGTAATTTTTATACTACGTATTTGAGAGCCTACAATGTGCCAGGTTTTGTAGCATTACTGTATATTAGAGAATCATAATTCATTGAAATACAGTGCAGAGGTAAAGAACTATTTTGTAAATGACAAAATTTTCCAATTTGAATTTGTGTTTGCTTCTAAATTTTCGTATCTTAATTCTAGTTACCTACTTGCTGTGACTAGAGTAACTGCAAAAATTTAAGTTAAGGAAAAATAAAAGCATTGCTTATCTCTTCTAAATGGAGACATTTTGAGGGGTCCATTTGTCTTTTTTTATTAAATTTCAGATAAGAGTTCTTGTCCTATTCCTTCTCCCAGGAATTTATCTTGCTCCTTTCTAGAAGCATATTTAAATACCCATCATGTGTGATGTTCTCATAGTATTGAATTCCTTTTTGGAACCACTTGGTACTATTATTTTCAAGTTTGAGCAATGAAGACTCTTTTCTTGGTTATACCCTGTACCCCAGAGATAGGAATTTGTCCTTCTCACCTGCTTCTTAAGCCCTTCCCTGCATGCTAATGATGCTCTGGATCCCTGTCCTGTCTGGCGCAAAGATTTTGCTTCCCATTGCTTTTTCCGAGGAGCTCTCTGGTTAGTTCTGGCTCTGGAAATAATAATTGGTACTTTCTTGCTAATATGATTACATGAGCCACCAGATTACTGGGGTTTAAATAAAATGTTAATAGGCTGTTCTAACAGGCAAGTTTGGGTCTTGCTTTTTCCCCTCAAAAGACTTCATTAAGGGTTGGGATCCATGCTACAGATCAGTAACAGAAAGATTATTTCTTATGGGATGAGAAGCCGGACGACTTGTTATCTGTCTTGCTATTTCCCACAGGCTCCTACCCAGAGATTCTATCCAGTGAAACTCCCACAGCAACGCAGGTAGACGGGGCTGACCTGGCCTCTCCAATGTCTCCTCGAACTAGCAAAAGCCGCATGTCCATGAAGCTGCGTCGATCCTCTGGTTCAGCCAATAAATCCTAAGGAAACAAGCAGCCCAGCAGTGTGATCAGCAGTAACCACCTTAGCATGAACATAGTGTTAACCCTTTCAGGCCTTCGTGTTTGCCATAACATGCATGTTTCTTCCTGAACATTTATTTTAGAAAACACTGGATTTAAATAATTTGTAACTTAATATTTTAGATTTGGGTTGTTTATTCAGTTGTTCCCCCCCCCCAACACTCTAAGCTGCCATATTTTGGGGGGGTAGAGTTTTATTCTATACTCTTTACCTTCCTGGATAATTATGTCTAAGCAGTTTCACTTTTAATTTCATGATTAACTTTGAGCCAAACTATAATTGGACAGATAGCCTCATTATTTTATTTATCGTGCCCCATTGCAACTTTATGGCTCAGTAAATGTATAATTTTTTTACAAATATAAATTTTTAAATTTAAGCATTTGTAAAGTTATAGCAAAAGTTGCAAATCTTAATACACAGGATGTGTATGGATTATTTATGTTATGAAAATAAAACACTTAAAATAAATGGTCTTTTAGCATCTCAAATTCCAGCTGACATAATTTTAGCATTAACTTTTTCTTCCCAAAGCAATGCCTCATTTCTTGGCTGTGCAGATGATGCCATGATATATCTCATAACCAGAAAAATCACTGTGCTGAACTTTGATTTATGTTTAGCTTCCAAATATTTTTCTAATGTTTTGCTTTTTAAATGGTATCAGTGTTAAATGCCATTTTTGTTTTGATATTGTGGCCCTGTATTATTGGCTCCTGGATCCTGGTATATCTGTGTTGTTCTTTCCTGAGTACCAAAAAGAGGGTAATTGGGGGGATGGAGAGAAAGAAAAAAAGAAAGAAAGAACTTTTCTGATATAAATGTGTTGCTTAAATTATGTGTAATTTAAAAGAAAAGGGAACATGACCCAGGAGTCTAAATTAAATCTAATATTATTAATAATACTGAACTTGCTGATGCAGGTTGGTATTCATTCCACCCTCCAGAAATATTTTCCTACAGTAAATAAGCTGCTCACATTTTGTCCATATTTTGTTTTGAACGGGCATCTCCCAAGGAAATGTAGCATGACATCAGTACTAACTGCATGTGTAAATACATCATACGGGCAAACTCTAAAAATATAAATTATGTATCATCATTCATGTAGTATCTACAAATTTGTAACAGTGAAAGAAAAAATATGGTATTTAATAATACAATAAAAATATTCTTATCACTTATGTCCATGAGCGTTGATTTGTCTTTTATAATTCTTGTCTATTTGTCTTTAATATATTTTCAGACTTAATAAGCAGAACTATATGATTAATGGAGAGATATAAAGCATAAACCTAGGTTATCTTAGTAAATCATGAAAAAGGAATTTGAATTCCCTTGTTAGGAAACACCCCAACTTCTCAGTGACTCTACCACAGTCACTGAAAATGCAGGCAATCTTACACCTTCATAACAGCTGGCCAGAAACTTACCCAGTGCACCTGGTTAAAGCATCAATTAATCTTAGCCTCATGCTTCTTTGATTTTTTAAATTTTCAATATGTACACATTCGGGGGGAAAAAACTTTTTGCAGACAGTTTCTAAAATAGCCTTCCAGAGTTCTGTGCACTTAAGTTTTTGTTAAAAATAAAAATAGATTGCTATGAAACAACTGTAGAAAATAAAATTCCTATGAAAGCTTGTGTAGAAGATAAGCAAATGGAGTCCCTGGGAACAAGGTTAAACAATATTGACAGTTTCCCACAACCAAGGTGAAGAATTAAAAAAGGAAAATCAAAGTAACTGCTTACACAATTTTTTAAAAAATGAACAGCCAATGGAATGATTTATAACAAAATTGAGTAAAAATACCAACTTGGAAATATTGTACTTAGCACAGTTAACATGATTTTTTTCATGTTTAGATAAAACTACTTTTTTTAAGAAAAAATATATTTTCCGTTGACATTTTAGGTAGTAAAGTATCTTTAGATTTAAAAAGCCTTTTGGAGCTCAGTCTGTGCAAGCCATACATGAAAGGAAATTTTCCCATTGCGTTTCTGCATCACTACATTCATTTACAAAATATAATTTTTCTCCTGTCTGTATTCTAAATGGGTCACTAAGATTCTAAAGTAGGATACTGGCTTTGGGGAGATAAGAAATGTGACTTTGAAAAATAGGCTGTGTTCAATGAAATTCTCAGGACAAACACAGAACACAACAAAGTACCAGCTATGTACATTTATTTGGTGGTAAGCATCTTACAAGTATGGGCTATCTGTCAAGCAATACTCAGCCAGTGTCCCAAACTCTGGCTATTAGAGCATGGGTACAGAGTGTACACTGAATATGGTTTACAAAAATTCAAAAACAGGTTCTGCTGAAAAATGAATGAATCCCCATTCAGTTCCATAGTGGATTATAGGTATTAACATCGTCCTTAAACGGAACATAGTTTCATATATAACACTGCGTGAGATTTACAACAGAAGGATTAAACAATTTGGATGAAACCCTACTAAAACAGTCAAACTTCTGGAAATGAGTTGTGTTTCCAAAAAGCTGTTATTTAAAGTTTTAAAGTATCTCTTCCTGAAAACACACCAAAAAAGCTAAAGGTGAGAATTTTGGGGGTGTCTCAACTCCAAGTAAAGTAGCACCCTCCCCACCTCCAAACACTAACTTAAGAATGGACTAATACTTGAGAAAAGGAACGTTTACAGGGAGATCCCCACATCCCCCAAAATCGCAAACATCCTCTTACATTTCCTGCCGGCAGGCATAGGTCTTGAGTGTTTCCCCACCCCCCCCCCGTAAGTTTGGCACCAATCACATTACTTTCAATTCACAGAATATACAATGCAAGGTATCTGACCCTATTGAGACAGAAACTACATAGGCGCCTGCGATGGCAAGAGCGGAAAAACAAAAAACCAGAAAAAACAAAAACGACTACCACTTTTGGTAGCTAGAATCCTTTGTAGATATTGAGACATGCACGCATTCACTACGACTTTCCATAGGAATTACAAGTCATATAGGATTCGTTAGGGTCTCCAGAGTGAGGGGGGAAATCCTATTTTCGTGGGGAAAGCAAGAAGGCTTTAAAGTGACAGTCCTTGACCGCGAATGTTTATACCATATACATACCTGCTCTAGAGAGGGATTTTACATTTCGCTGTCCGCTTCTCTGGCGGAACATTGACTACTGGGAGTTTTAGGAGAGAAAAATATAGGCAGGAAAGAGGGTAAACTTGCAAATTCAAGAAATCCCCACAGAAATTCCCATGATCTGTTTCCTCCAAGGCCAACCGCACAATCTTCCTCATCTCTTTCCTCAACAGCCAGGCCGCAACGGCATCTGCAGCAGCAGTACCTGCCGACTTTCTGAGGGGTGGCACTTATTTATGTGCCGGGTCAGCCCCGGGGAGCTAAAAAAAGTGGACGGGCAGTGCTTGCACGAGAAAATTTGCTGAGCACTCCCGTCGGATGCTCCGCCTGGGCTCGGCGCTTCTGGGGGCGCCCCGGCCAGAGCAGGCAGGAGCAGCTCCTCGCGGACCGCGTGCCACAGCCGGTGTTTGTCCCTGATGTCTGCGGACGGGAAGTGCGCCCCGCACAGGGGGCAAGCGAAGGCGAGTGGGGCACCGTGTTCGGAGCCAAAGCCCGGGGCAAGCGCACGAGCAGAGCCTGCCTCGTGAGTGCCTAGGTGCTTGCGCAGATAGGCTTGGCGACGGAACTTTTTGTGGCAATATGGGCACATGAAGATCTCGGATCCCCCGACACCACTGGCACTACCTGGCCCAGGCACCCGGCGCCCCAACACCCCCTCCGTAAAGGGGACCTGAGGCAGCGGTGGCTCGGGGTGGGACAGCACCTGGAGGCCCTGGTGTGGGGCGCTGTCCTGGTGCTCCGCCCTGGAGCTGTCCCTCGCTTGCAGGTGCTGATCGGCCGCTCGCTCTGCCCGGCTGTTCTCCTTTCCCTCCGCCAAGAAAGATGCAACAGCCCCAGAGTCTGGGGAGGTGGAGGAAGACGAAGGAGGCGGCTTCCCGTCGGCTGAAGAGACTGTGGCAGCATTTGCCGCTGCGGAACGCGGTTTGTGCCAGCGGCGATGGGAGGCGAGGTTCGCAGGGCAGCTGAAGACCTTGTCGCACTCAGGGCAACGGTACTCGACGCGTACGATGCGGGAGCAGCGGTGCTGAGCCAGAGCGAAGGGGTCTGCGTACTGCTCCTTGCATAGCTGGCAGATAAATTCCCCCAGTGGCGTGCGGCTGCCCCCCAGGCCCCGGGACGGTGCTCCCGGCTCCTCCTCCTTGATCTTCAGGCCCAGGACAGGGGACGTGGTCACTTCATCCGCGAAGCTCAACTTCCTCATGGCCTTTGGCTTCTTGATTCCCGCGGCCGCAGGTCCAGACGTACAGCCCGGAGGGGCCTTGGCACGGCGCTCGTTGCCAGCGGCCCGCTTCAGGCCGTGCAGGGTGGCCGAGAGGGGCGCAGGGTCTGGATGGAGCTCTGGCTCTGGGAACGGTGCCCGGAGCGGCAGCAGGAACTGCTCCCCCGAGGTCGGTGCAGCTGCTGGCGCCGCCGAGCAAGAGAAAGCAGCCACCGCGGCGGCACCCCCGGGGAAGGACTCTGCAGAGACGGGTGAGCTGAGGCAGCGCTCCAGGAATGCCCGGCGCAGCTCCGCGCCCGCCGGCTTCGTGGGGCTGGGGCTGGGCCCGGGACCCTCCCTACCATCCGCCCTCCACTCCGCAGCACCTTCCTGCCCGCCCTCCGCCGGGCTCACCCTAGCCGCCCGACAGGACGACCCCGACAGTTCCCGGGCCGCCGCCTCCTCCTCCAAGGTGGGGGTTGCCACCTGCTCCGCACCGGGCTGGGGGGCACTGGAAGCCTCCTCAGGAAAGGGCGGCGCCCCCTGGGGCCCCAGCCGGGGGAAAACCCGCTCAGCTAGGCGCACTCGATACGAGCCGCCCGTCCGTTTAGTTCGCTTTACCAGGAAGCCCCTCGGCATGGTGGAGTCGGGAGTGCTCAGGGGGCAAAGAGTAAAGGGGGCTCCGCGGGGGCTGCGAACTGGCGAGCACCGCAGCTACCTGAGCTTCGCCACAGCCGTCATGCGTGGGCTGCCTTTATAGCTGAGACTCGGGGCCGAGGGACCACCGGTCGCCTTCAGGCTAGACCGGCCAATCAGGAGTGGCAGCGGGCGCCAGGGGCGGGGTTTTTGCCTGGCTGGGCTCACAGGGGTCCGAGAGGCAGGCTGCGGCCCGCGCCCCCACCCCACCTCGCAGCGGCCTCGGCGGGGCCCCAGCGGCTGGCTTAGGGGCTGCCCGTGCCGCCTCCCCGTGCCGCCCACCGGGCGGACGAAGATACAAAAAGGTAAGGTCCAGAGTGTGAGGAAGCTCGGCACTCACCGCCTCCGCTGCCTCCAGGGCGGGACTGTCCAGGGAGCCAGGCGGAGAGGCAACCGATGGGCGCCTTCCTTGCGGGCCGGGACCCTGCGGCGTCCCCGACGCGAGGGACTCTGATGGAAGCCGAGAGGGAGGAAGGCGAGAGGAAGGGGCCGCGGGCGGCGCGCCCCAGGAGGCAACTGGGTGGGTGCCCGCTGGGGAACGGGTTAATGTCCTCTGCCCTTATTGAGCTGATGAGAAGCTGCGACGGAGCGGCAGGGCGGCTAAATCCACCGCCCTGTGCCTACACTTGACGGTGGGAGCACGTCTGCCATCCAGTATCGATCGACACTGCGCGCGTCTGTGATACTATGAGAATTCATCTGGGAAGAAGGGCTCTCAGTGCGGGAGATCGTGCGTGCTGGCAAGCCTCTGGAGCTCAGGACGCCAGCCGGCTTCTGGACCCTGGTCCTCAGGGCTTATCAATGTCCCCCCGCCATGGGAAAAGGAGTGGGGAGGGGAAAGTAGGATCTAATTTTCGACTGTCCTCAGATAAAGTGGTTTCTCTGTTCACACCTTCCACTTGTACTACCCAGAGACATGACTTAGTGCCTAACTGACCTGTTTAGCATGGAGTAGATTGAGTGAGAAATACTGGCAGAATCAGGATTACATCTGCTTCCCCTTATACAAGTAATACTTTGCAAAAGGTGTGCAATGGGCCAGATTTAATAGATTTTCATCCAGCACTCTGTAATGTGCCCAGCACTGTTTTAAGCACTAGAAGATATTTGAAAGTTTGTAATACTAGCTGAACTATGAAATAATTAGAAAATTTGACAGATGTATAATAAAGTACCAAAAGTCCATAATACAATATGAGAATAGGAAGGGGAAAGAACTCAAGTCTCCTTACTAGATCAAACTGGAGACAAAGACTTAGTAATGTGGTTTTTTAAAAAAGATTTATTTGAGAGAGAGAATGAGAGAGAGAGAGCGCGAGAGGGAAGAGGGTCAGAGGGAGAACCAGACTGGGACTCGATTCTGGGACTCCAGGATCATGACCTGAGCCACCCAGGCGCCCTTTAGTAATGTGTTTTTAAAGTAGACTAGTATAACAGATGTAGTCATCAATAATACACATCCCCTTCCTTCTAAGTAAATGAAGTGTTTTTACATGGAGTGCATTATTCTGGGGAAGACCTGGAAGTAATTATATATTTGTTAATCATTAACAATATTTTAAGCATTCTAAAGTAATCTCTAATCTTCTCACACATACACATCAAACAAAGGAGATATTATTACTCTCCCTTTTTTGATGAGGGGATTGAGCCATGGAAGTTAGATAAGTCACAAAAGTCACCCAGAGCTCAGATTCAAACTGAGTTCTAGCTAATTCCAAAGCTCAGACTCTTTCCGCCACATTAGTGTCTTCAAACTTTTTTTTTTCTGGTCACATCCCACAATAAGAAATATATTTTATGGCACACATATGGAACTGAAACAAAAATTTCAGAAAATAATATTTAGTTTAACTAGGTATAATGCATTGTGTATTTTCTGTGCAATTATATTTTCTTTTTTAAAATGCTGAAGATAGCAAAAAAATTGATTTCATAACTTACTAATGGATTAGGACCCACAATTTGAAAAACACCTTCATGATGATGTTTCCCATTACAAAGCATGAAATCATACAAAATTAAATAAACTTGATACTTTATAATCAAAGTTAACATTCTGAATCACTATGTAAAATATTTGAGTCCTTTAGTAGTGTTGATAAATTTAGTTTCCCAAAATTTGATCATTTCTGACACATCAGTTTATGTATGACTTCTACCTCAACTTCTTCTCAACTCTTCCTTTCTTTTCCTCCTAATGGCCTGGACATATTGTGTGGTATTGCAAATTTTAGGTAAGATTTTAATACTTTAAGATAGCCCCTTTCCAAGAGATGCTTTTCCTCAGGGGTATGTAGTACTTTGTAAGAATTGCAACCATATGACCCAGCATTTGTGCATCTAGGTAATAGACAAAAGAATTGAAAACAGGGAAACATACACTTGTACACCAATGTCCATCGTAGCACTATTCAGGAAAGCCCAAAGATGGAAACAACCCAGTGTCCTACAACAGTTAGATGTATAAACAAAATGGGGTATATACAAATGACAGGATATTATTCAGCCATAAAAAAGGAATGAAATGCTGATCCATACAACATGGATAAGTCTTGAAAACATTATGCTAAGTGAAGTGAGCCAGACACAAAAGACAAATATAAGATTTCAGTTATATTGAAACATCTATAATAGGCAAATTCATAGAGACAGGCGTAGATTATTGGTTATCAGGGGTTAGGGAAATGGGAACTTACAGTGTAATGGTTACAGAATTTCACTTTGGAGTGGTAAAAAGTTTTATTAATAGCGGTAAAAAAAATAGTGGTGATAGATGGACACCAATGTGAATGCTGTCAATGCCACTGAATTACAAACTTAAAAATTGTTAAAATGGGAATTTGGGGGGCACCTTGGTGCCTCAGATGGCTAAGCATCTGCCTTCAGCTCTGGTCATGATCTCCAGGTCCTGGGATTGAGTCCCCACATCAGGCTCCTGGCTCAGCGGGGAGCCTGCTTCTCCCTCTCCCCCTGCCTTTCCCCCTGCTTGTGTGCTCTGTCTCTCAAATGAATAAATAAAATCTTAAAAAAACAAAAAGCAAAAATGGGCATTTTTGTTGTATATATTTTACAATAAAAAATTTTCACACACACACAGAAAGGAGGAGGCAAAATTATGGCATATCAGACTATGAAAAGAATATAAAGGACCAGGTCATGTAATTTGGACTTTATAACACAGGACAGGCACAGAGAGTCATTTAAAGTTGTTTTTTTTTTTCTAAGATTTATTTATTTGAGAGAAAGAGCACACTCAGAAGGGCAGAGGGGGAGGGAAAGGAGAGAAAGAATCCTCAAAAGCAGACACCCCACAGAGCCCGAGGAGGGGCTCCATCCCATGACTCTGAGATCATGACCGAAGCTGAAATCAAGAGTCAGAGGCTTAACTGACTGAGCGACCCAGGTGTCCCCCCAGCTTTTTTTTTTTTTTGAGAGTCATTTAAAGTTTTAAAGTGAGGGAATGACATTTGCTTTTGAAATTGCGTGAGGAAAAATATCTTTGGCTAAACTTTCTGCTAGACAGAGAAAGGGAAACATAGATATAAGACTCTCCTTCTCTCAGCCCTTTCCCTTCCAACCGCGAATGTGTGTCTGTGTCTAGAAAAAACAAAATGAAGGAAACTTAAAAAGTCAAAAGAGCAGTTATAATGGGAGAATACTTAACGAAACGATTGGCATAGATCTGATATTCAATACCTGGTTTTTTTTTTAATAAATAGTGCTAGTTATCACATGGACAACAAATGTGTCATCCATCCATCCTTCCAGCCATCCTGTCTTCTGCTGTACGTACGTCTATTCAATCACCCATCAAACAATTGCTGTGTATTCTTTCTATGATAGTTCAGAAACATAGTGTTCAAGGAGTATCTACCCTCTGTTATTTTCAGGAAAACAAACCTGTCTAGGAGAGGGCCTGGCCCACCTGGAGCTGTTATTATTCCTGACCACCATTTTACAGAAATTTACCCTGAAATCTCTGGTTGACCTGAAGGACATCGACATCACCCCAGTTGCCAAAGGGCTCCCTTCTGCGCTGTCGCCTATCAGCTCTGTCCCATTCCTGTGTAAAGAAGGGCAGACTGTATGGGTGCTGCTGTGGCCCTACAGCCCCCCTCCCCCAGAGGCAGCGTTACCCCTTCCCGCTTCCTGGGCATGCCTTCTCTGACCTCTCCTCTCTCATCCCCCTGTTCTCCCACCATCCGGTCACCATCCAACCTCCATCAAAGGAGAGTTTCCTGCCTTCCACTGCACAAACGTAGCTGTTCTCCTGCATACTCTGTAACACGGGCCAGTACATAGGCTGTTACTTAGCTAATACTGAGTTAGTACTACGTTATCACTCTGACACACGGCAACGAATGTTTAGTATACAACAACCCACAGCCATTTCTCTTCTGTGTGTTCAAAATAAAAGGCGTTATTTTTTTTTCAAAAACAAAAAATTGATGTCAAGTATTTTCTAACAAAGCCAACAGTTCCGGTAGTTCTTCCTCTCCACATACCCCCCGCCCCAAGTATAATTTGCTAACAACCTTTCTGGAAATCAATGTAGCGATGTATAGCAGAAGCTTTTAAAAACATGTATGTCCTTTAATTCACCAGTTGCTTTTTTAGTAAATCATTCAAAAGAAGGACAAAGATTTATGCACAAGACTATTTATCACATGTTATTTATAATTATAAATAATCAGAAACTATTATAAATAATTATAAATAATCAGAAACTACCTTGAGTAAATCCTGGTGCAGCTACACTAAAGATGGATCCTATTAGAATACAAATCTGATCATTTCAACTCTTTTGCTCAAAGTCTTCAAATTTCTTCCCACCATATTTAGAATAAAATCCAAAGCTCTGATTGGGCCCTGGCTGTTCTTACACCACATCTCCCATCACGCTCTTCCTCATCCATTCTGTTCCATATACATTCGTCTCC